TTCGGCCCAGCTGGAGCCCTGAGGAAGCGGGTCCATGGCAGCCACACACGGAAGCGTGGGGAGGTGAGGCTGCCTGTCGGGGGCACAGTGACCATACCAGGAAATTTATGTATCATCTCTTTTAATTATCACAAGACTCTGACTTTCATTAGAGGCCCAGAGAAGTTGTCAGAGGCTTGAGTTCTCATGGATTTTAGTTGCTGGAACTGGTGTTCAAACCTCCCCCAGACCTCTGTACCAGAAAGCTGCATGTCGCTTGGACTTTGACTTTTATCCTAACTCTCCAGCCCTCACATAGAATTAGATAGGACTGGCCCAGGCCCTAGACCGACACTTGGTTATTTCGTGAATTCTCCCTAGGTGCCGGGAGTGGGGTGGCCGTAGATATGAGCCGCTTTCCCAGCATCTACTTTCTCTTTGCTTGTTTTCCTTTCCTGTCTTCATAAATTAATCATTTATTTCAGTAGGCATACACAAAGTGAAGAAGTCTGAAAGAATACGTATAGGGGATTTTTGAGAAGTTAATTCCTCTCCCTGATCACCAGTCGCTGAGTTTCTTTTCCTGGAGAGAGCCGTTATTGTCAGTTTCTTCTCGCTCCATCCGGAGATAATCTATTAACGCGAGGTGCGTGCTTGGTGTGTCTGTAAAACAAGTGACGCAGCCGTACACACATGCTCTCCACCTTTGTGTTCGTCAGCGGTATACCCTCCATATTAGTGCTTAGACAAACTGTTTCATTATTTTCCCATAACAACTTTATTGGAAGATAACTCACATACCATAAAATTTACCCATTTAAAAAGTACAATTCAAAGGTTTTTCAGTATACTTACAGGGTTGTGCAGCCATCACCAGCTCCATAATTTCAGAACATTTTGATCACCCCAAAAAGAAATTCTGTATCCTGGAGTAATCACCTCCGTTTCCTCCCACCCCCTTAGCCATAAGCAGCTTCTAGTCTACTTTCCGTCTATTCTGGAAATTGCATCTAAGTGGAGTCACACGGCGTGACCTTTAGTGACTGGCTTCTGTGATTTGCCGCAGTGTTTTCAGGGATCTTCCAGGTTGCGGCATCTGTTAGTCCTTCATCCCTTTTTGATGTTGAGTCCTATTCCATTGTCTGCATGTGCCACCTTCTGATTTATCCTTTCGCCAGTTCATGACATTTGAATTGTTTCTACTTTTGGCTGTTATGAGTGATGCTGTGAACATTTATGTACAAGTTTTTGTCTTTATGTATGTTTCCATTTCTCTTGGGAATCCATCTAGGAGTGGAATTGCTGGGTGATACAGTGACTCTTTAATACTTGGAGAAGTCGCCTCCGGTTTTCAAATCTTTCTCTGAACCGCTGCCCCATTTTCCTTTCTCGTAAGCAGAGTATTGAGAGTTCTAATTCTTGCACATCCTTGCCATTGCTTGTTATTACTTGTCTTTTTGATTATTGCCACCTTAATAGGTGTGATGTGGTGTCTCAGGGTAGCTTTGATTTTCATTTTTCTGATAACTAATGATGGACATCTTTTCTAGGAGTTTTAAATAGAGTCATGTGCTGTCTAACAATGTTTCGGTCAGTGATGGATCACGTAAATGACTGTGGTTCCATAGGGTTAGTGCCCTGTAGCCTAGGTGTGTAGTAGCTACACCCTCCAGCTTTGTGTAAGTACACTCTACAGTGTTCACACAATGACAGAATCGCCTAAACGCATTTCTCAGAGCGTATCCCCTGGAATCATCTGTCACGTTTAAAATGGAGGAACCGGGGCTGGCCCCGTGGCCGAGTGGTTACGCAGTGTGTGACTGTAGTTTTCGCTCTTAATGTGTAGGTCTCTGATCTGTTACCAGTTGATTTTTGTGTATGCTGTGAGTTACTAGTCCAACTTTATTCTTTTGCGTGTGGATATTCAGCTGTCCATCACCATTTGTTGAAAAGACTGTTCTTTCCCGTTGAGTGGTCTCGGCTCCCTTGTTGCAAAATCAGTTGCCTGTAATGTGAGAGTTTATTTCTGGACCCTCAGTTCCCATTGATCCATATGTGCATCGTTGTGTGGTACCACACTGTCTTGATTATTGTATCTTTTTAGTAAGTTTTGAAATCAGGGAGTGTGTGTCTTCCAATTTTGTTCTTTTTCAAGATTGTTTTGGCTGTTCTGGGCCCTTGTATTTCCTAAGGAATTTTAAGAATGGCTTGTCAATTTCCACAAAGAAACCAACTGATATTTTGCTAGGGGTTGAGTGGAATCTAGATCATTTGGGGGCACATTGTCATCTTAACAGTATTCAGTCTCCAGTTCATGGACATGAGGTGGCTTTCTATTTATTTAGGTCGTCTTTTATTTCTTTCAATATATTTTTTAGTTTCCATAGTCTGAGTTTTGAACTTCTTTTGTTAAAGTAATTTGAAGTATTTTATTCTTTTTGATGCTATTGCGAATGGAATTTTAATTGTATTTACTTCATTCTTTTTAGCAGAGTTGTGTGGTATGCGTGTGCCGTCATCTGTCATAATGTTATTAACAAGTCCCCTGTGGATGGACATTTAGGTCCCGATACATTGCTGTTTGCAGACGTTGTGAATTCCAGTAAGGAGGTGTGCTCAGCCAGTGGGTCCTCAGACAAGACACTGGAATCATCTGTCACGTTTAAAATGGAGGAACCGGGGCTGGCCCCGTGGCTGAGTGGTTAAGTTCCTGTGCTCCGCTGCAGGCGGCCCAGTGTTTCGTTGGTTCGAATCCTGGGCGCGGACATGGCACTGCTCATCAAACCACGCTCAGGTGGCGTCCCACATGCCACAACTAGAAGGATCCACAACAAAGAGTATACAACTATGTACTGGGGGGCTTTGGGGAGAAAAAGGAAAAAAAAATAAAATCTTTAAAATTTTAAAATTTAAAACAGGAAGAGGAACCTTCCCTGTTTATCGTTTTACAGCTTATTTCAAAACTTCCCCCAAAAAAACCTTCCAGTAGGGCTGTATAGAAAAATGTCCTAGACTCTTTACAGTTAATCTTATTTACTTATTAAAAATAGTAGATGCTGGAAGAGGGTCACACTGTTGAAGTATTGCCTAGAGCAGCACTGTCCGTGATGACGGAAGTGTTCTGTGTCTGCACCGCTCAAAGACGTAGCCGCCAGCCGTGTGGGGCCATCGAGCACTTGAAACGAGGCTAGTGACTGAAGAACCGGATTTTAGATTATATTGAGTTTTAATTGATTTGGCCAGTGGCTGTTGTGTCGTATGATTATAGCTGCGTTTGGATTTAAAGCTCGTGGAGATTTGCAGAAGCCTTGCCCACGGTGGTATATGTTGCATTATTTCCTGTGTAGCATAAGGCAATTGTTAGTGGTCATAGTAAGTTTCGTCAACACGTAGGTCTCAGTAAACATCTCTTGTTTTGTAGCAGTTTGCCCTGCACCCAGCCGGCTTCAGATTGCCTGCATACCAAACTTCTAGATAGAAACACATATGGGTCCTTGGTTTGCTTGTTGTTGTTATGTGTATAGCCCACCCCACTGTAAAAGGTAGGCTTACGTGAGGTTTCTGTCACATGTGTGTTCTCTAAAATCTGCATGTGAAATTTTGTTGGTGGCTTGAATAACCTTGTCCCTGGGCCCTGGCCTGGGCCCTTCCCCTGGCCATTTCTTTCCTCGTCTCTCCATGGCGCTGACATGCTTGGAAAGGCTTCAGCCACCAGCTGCTTGGTCATGACCTCTGCTTCTGTTTGCAGCCCAAAACTTTATTTTTTAGCTGTAGATTCTATCTACCAAGCATTCCACTGTATTTCTACACTGCGGGGCATCCCGCATGCCCCTCAGAGTCAGATGAGCTACGATAAGTAAATTTTCTCTGCAGCCCCTTCGTCCTCCTCCTCCCGCTCTGTTCTCTGTCCGGAGTGATGGTGTCTTAGTACCGGAAACCTGGGAGACAAACATCCACCTCCAGCAAACGAACGACCAAGTTCTGAGTTCAGGTTCTGTTATCTCTTCCCGGGACTCCTCACTAGTTTCCTTTCTTCTGTCTTTTATCCTTTCTACCCATTCTACACACCAGTTCCATATGTTCTCTGCAGAAAGCAAATCTCTGGTCCTAAAATTGCATTTCAGTGGCTCCTACTTGCCTTGAGGATAGAGCCCGGACGCCTTAGAGCTGTGGATCGTCCCTCGGTGAGCCGACTGCTGCCTGTCTCCAGCCACACCGGCTCCTTTAGGCCTTGGGCCTGGACGTGCCCACCGCCCTGCACCTCATTTTGGTCAGTCTCTAAGATCATGCTCAGCAGGTGGCTGTTTCTGGCTCAGCCCTCTGCCGCCCACCCCTCTGTGACAATGCCCAGAGCAGTTGATGACCTTCATGTTGGCCTGCACTTCTCCCCTCGCGGTTAGACCACACAGCCCCCTGCCCCGGGCCCTTTGTGCCCCGTACACTTCCTGGTGCCTGGAAGACACTGTTCTGATGGCATTTTACCTGCCTTTGAACTCTTCGGTTTAAACTTCTCTGTCAGTCTTTTTTTCTCTACTTCAGTAGTAATAATGTTTTCTGACAGGTCCCACACGTGTTTTATGAGATGATAATAGTATTGGTGGCGTAATAAGTGTGTCACCCTGTCACGTGTGTTGTTAGGGGACCAAGCAGTCAGCTCCTTTGTGGTCTGGGAGGTGGATTACTCGGGAAGCAGGTCTGATTTACTTCCATCTTCGCTAACTTTTAATTGGCTCTGCTCCACCTTCTAGAGACACCAGTCTTAGAAAATAAGAAATCTATAGCGTCTGGCTTGGAATTTTGACTGTTTCTGTTAGAACTTGGGGAATAAGATTTTTTTCACCTGCCTGTGCTCAAAAGAGAATTGGCCCCCATTCCTGATTACCCAGCTTCTTAATTCCTCTGGCCATTTAAATTATTTTTAAAAACCCAAATGTCACTCTTGAGGCCAAAATCTGATAATTTAACATGAATTACCGTCATTCGTTGCTTAGTGATGGGGATATGTTGTGAGAAGTCTGTCGTTAGGTCATTTTGTCGTTGTGCGAACATCGCAGAGTGTACTTACACAAACCTGGATGGTCCAGCCTACCACACACCTCGGCTGCATGGTCTAGCCTGTTGCTCCTGGGCTGCAAACCTGGACAGCATGTCGCTGTACTGCATACTGTAGGCGACTGCAACACGATGGTAAGTACTTGTGTATCTAAACATATCTAAAGATAGAAAAAGTGCAGGAAAAATATGGTATAAAAGATTAAAAAAGTACATCACTGTAGACTTTATCAACACTGCACGCTTAGGCTACACCAAAGTTATAAAAAAATTTTTTTCTTTCTTCAATAATAAATTAACTTTAGCTTACTGTAACTTCTTTACACACTTTTAAATTTCTTTTAACTTTTTGACTCTTTTGTAATGACACTTTAAAACACAAACATTGTACAGCTGTACAAAAATATTTTCTTTCTTTATATCCTTATTCTGTAAGCTTTTTTCTATTTAAAAAATTTTTAATTTGTTTTTACTTTTTAGATTTTTTGGTTAAAAACTAAGACACAAGCACACACATTAGCCTAGGCCTCCACAGGGTCAGGATCATCAGCATCACTGTCTTCCCCCTCCGCCTCTTGTCCGCTGGTTGGTCTTCAGGGGCAATAACACACGTGGATCTGCCATCTCCTATGATAACGATGCCTCTGCTGGAACACCTCCCGCAGGACCTGCCTGAGGCTCTCCCTGAGGAGGTGTCACTCTTCAGAAATACATGCGTGGTGATTTTCTTAATTTGTTTCTTCTTTTCATCATAGATTTGCTTGCAAGCAGATAATAATGCACCACAAACATTCCTCTCTATTAATGAAAACCTTTTGGTGTAGAGGTCCGTGTTTTCAAACTTTTAAGGAGCTTGTTGAGCAAAAGCTTCTGCGAAGTCTTCACTGTGTGTTTTCTTAGGGGTTCATCTTTTTCTTCTGCAGTTGCGTTTTCTCTTGTATGGCTGTATGATGTCACTAGGCAATAGGAATTTTTCAGCTCCATTATAGTCTTATGGGACCACTGTCATACATGAGGTCTGTCGTTGACCGAAACGTCATTACGCAGCACATGCCTCTTAATACTTACTGAGAACTTGGCAACTGTACCCGTTTTCTATTGCTGCATGACAAATTACCGCACACTTAGCAGCTTGAAACAATGCTCATTTATTCACTCACAGAGGTTAGGGCTGCACAGCGTGGCTGGATTCTCACTGGGCTGAGCTCAACCTGCCGGCCGAGGCTGCAGCTCGCATTTGGGGCTCAGAGCCCTCTCCCAGCATCACTGGCAGAACTCATTTCCGTGCCTTGATGTCCTTGTTATGTTTCCAGCTGTTGTCTGGGAGCTGCTCTCTCTCCTGGAGGCCGTGCGCACGCAGCTCTTGCCATGTGGCCCGAGTGGGCAGTTCACAGCCTGCATGTTTGCTTTTCCTCAGGCCAGCTGCAGCATGTCTCTTTGCCTGCTGTGACCAGCAGAGGAAACACTCTACTTTAAAAGTCTCACGTGATTAGGGGGAGCGCGCTGAGTGTAGCTGCCGTTTCGCCATATAACATAATACAGTTATGAGAGTGATGTCTTACCCCGTCCATGGGGTCTGCCCACACTCCCTCGCTCAAGGGGGAGGGCCGGTGCAGCTCATTTCAGAATCCTCCCTCCCACAGCAGACACTTCCCATGTAAGTTTCATTTACGCAAAGTTGAGGCGTTCTCTTTTCCTTAGAGAGGAATATGTGAAATCGTGGCTTTTTCCCTCCCTAGCTGTGTGGCTTTCCCCAGTGTGATAGCCAGCCTTTTTAGATAGGCTGTTTTGTTAGAAAGTAAATATTGATTGATTCTGTCCGTAAGTAGAAATGCCAGATTACATATTTCTCGGCCACCAATTACCACGGGAGAAGGAAGAGTGAGGAGGAGGGAGGGGGCCCGAGAGCGAGTTATAGATCAGGGGGTGGACATCGGAAAGAAAACGCATGTGAGTTTATGTCAGTGTCCCAGCGTACTGCCTGAAGAAACTCATTTGGCACTCCTTTCCTTTGTATTTTGGTTAAAGATTAATTGAATGAATTAGTGTCCTACATTGTGTCAGTTGTCGTTTAGGCTGATAACAAAAGAAGGGACTCCTTTTTCTGCCAAATGTGAAGTTTACTTGTCCTTTTCTCTGCTCAAAAGGAATAGCAGCTGGAAGGAAATCAGCGCTCCCGTCGGTTGCCGTGGCAATTTAGAGCAGGTGATGCGTGCATTTGGCGAGGGCTGTTCAGTTTTCGCTCCCTTTTCTGATAAATACAAGATGAAGTGGATCAGTGTAATAAAGTAATCTTAGTACTATAATAGTTAAAGGAAAATATTTCGTGGGTATTTGAAATGTGCATTTTTATTATATCCTTATTTGTAGTTATGATTAGAATATTTAAGTTGTGTTTTATGTAGGGCAATAGTTTTTTGTGAAAATGTATAGACTAGTTGGAATTTTGCTTGCTAAATATTTTGTTCCAGTGACTGAGGTGATGCATTTCTTATGTTGTATGAGAACATGTTCTTAAGTTAGTGCCTTGTGTAAACTTCGGACACTTAGACTCTCAGTCTACTTTTTGCAGAGCTGCGTGTTACTTCTCACTGTGGAATGTGGCTGGGGCAGTTGTAAAAGAGACCATGTGTAGGGCCAGCCCAGTGGTGCAGTGGTTAAGTTCATACGTTCTGCTTCGGCAGCCCGGGGTTCACCAGTTTGGATCCCAGGTGTGGACGTGACACTGCTTGGCAAGCCATGCTATGGTAGGAGTCCCATGTATAAAGTAGAGGAAGATGGGCATGGATGTTAGCTCAGGGCCAGTCTTCCTCAGCAAAAAAAAAAAAAAAAAGAGGAGGATTGGCAGCAGATTTTAGCTCAGGGCTAATCTTCCTCAAAAAAAAAAAAAAAGAGACCAGGTGTATAGATCATTCAAATCTAAATGTAGGTGTTTCTCATTTTTCTTGGAAGCATATACTTTGTAAAGGTATAAAGTGGACATTAAAAGATATTACACAGTTGTACAGGCTTTTGCTTTTTATTTTTATTTTTATTTTTTTAATTTATTTTATTTTTTTTTAAAGATTTTATTTTCTTCCTTTTTCTCCCCAAAGTCCCCCGGTACATAGTTGTATATTCTTTGTTGTGGGTCCTTCTAGTTGTGGCATGTGGGATGCCGCCTCAGCGTGGTTTGATGAGCTGTGCCATGTCCGTGCCCAGGATTCGAACTGACGAAACACTGGGCCGCCTGCAGCGGAGTGCGCGAACTTAACCACTTGACCATGGGGCCAGCCCCCAGGCTTTTACTTTTTAAAAAGCAGCTTTCTAAGGTGTAATTCGTATACCATACAACTTACATATGTAAAGTTCAGCTCATTGTGTTTTGCTCTGTTCACAGGGTTGTGTGACCAGCACCACAGTAAATATTTTCGTCCCGCCTACAGAAACCCCGTACCTCTAACAATCAATCCCCATTTCCCTCCTCTTTGTCCCCGGCCCCCAGCCCTAAGCGACCACTGATTTACTCTGTCTCTATGAAGGTGCCTATTCTGGACATTTTGATATAAAATGGAATCATACAACGTGTGGTCTTTTGTGACTGACATTTTTTACTCAGCAAAATGTTTTCAAGATTCATCCATGTTGTAGCATGTGTCAGTACTCCATTTGTTTTTGTTGCTGAATAATATTACACTGTAAGGATACAGCTCGTTTTATTTATCCGTTTATCAGTTGATGCACATTTGGGTTGTTTCTGCTTTCTGTCTAGTATGAATAACGCTGCTGTGAACATTTTTGCACAAGATTCCGTGGGGACATATGTTTTCATTTCTCTTGGGTATATCCTTAGGAGTGGAATTGTTGGGTTATGTGGTAACTCTAAATTCAGCCTTTTTAGGAACTTCCAGAAATTCCAGAAGAGCTGTGCCATGTTAGACTTCAACTACAATATATGAGGTTTCCAAGTTTTTCATTCTCAACAATACTCGTTATTATCTTTCTTCTTATTATTGCCATCCTCTTGGGTGTGAAGTGGTGTCTCATCGTGGTTTTGCTTTCCATTTCCCAAATTACTAATGTTGGTGAGCATCTTTTCATGTGCTTATTGGTCATTTGTATATCTTCTTTGGAGAAATATCTGTTTTAGTCTTTTTCCTATTTTTAAATTGGTTTGTCTTTTTGTTGTTGAGTTATAAGAGTTCTTTTTATTTTCTAGGTACAAGTCCCTTATTAGTTGTATGATTTGCAAATATTTTCTTTCTTTCTGTGGGCTATCTTTACTTTCTTGATGGTGCCTTTTGGAGCACAAAAGGTCTTAATTTTGATCGAGTCCAGTTTATCTTTTTTTTCTTTTATTGCTTATGCGTCTAGTGTCATATCTAAGAAACATTCCCTATCCTAAGGTAATGAAGATTTACTTGTATTTATGTGTAAGTTTTATAGTTTTAGCTCCTTCATTTAGGTCTTTGGTCCATTTTGAATATTTATGTAATGTGCGTGTGATATAGAATTACAACTTCATTTTTTTTGCTCACAGATACCCATTTGTCCCAGTACCACTTGTTGAAAAGACTTCTTTCACCTTTTAATTGTGTTGCACTCTTGTGGAAAATATTTATGGGTTCCCCCCATGGCTTCTTAAGTGCTTCTAGTAATTCTTAAACGAAACAACTTCTTGATGGTTTTCGTTAGGATTGATAAAGGTATTTTCTTTTGATCTGTTGATATATTTCAGGAGTATGTACTTGGTGAGATAACCTGTCGCGTCTTGATCTTTTAAACAATTTAAGACTTCACCAGGCTTTGAAGTACTGTGGAAGCCACCAGGCACCACTCTGAAGAAGCCAGCCGGAAGGACAGTGTGGCATCCTTCTCTTTCCATGCATCTGCCCCAAGACAGAGTCGCTGTGTTTCTCCTCTGGTGGGTGGTGCAAGGGTGGACGCGGTGGAAAAGGATCACTGATTTGGAGCACAGCATTTGGCAGTTACATTGCACTGGGTCTTACGGTGTTGAATTGAGTGATTTGAGAGTCAGTGATAATTGGTGTGAAGAAGGTTACTAGGAACAGCCTTAGAAGAAAGCAATAATCCCTGGTGTGGCCAGGCATCTCTGATTTTGAGGCCAGGCTGCTCCTCTGGTATCAGTGACTCGGCAGGGTCTAGAGTAGTGCTGTGCAGTAGAGAGAAGGGAGCCCCATTTGTGATTTAAAGTGTTGAAGTAGCCACATTTTACAAAGTCAAAAGAATCAGGTGACTTTAATATGTTTTGTTATATCCAAAACATTATTATTTTAACATGTAATAAATATAAAATTATTAATAAAATATTTTACATTCTTTGTACTAAATCTTGGAAATCCGTACATATTTTACACTTAGAGCACATCTCAGTTTGGACTAGACTCATTTCAAGTGCTCACTACCCACACGCGGCCAGCGGCTACGGTACTGGTCAGCGCACTTGTAGATGTTTTGACGTGATGGCCATTTGAAGTTACTCCACTTCCTGTGTGCTCTAGGGTGCCCTGACTCAGCCTTTAACTTGCTGGAGCTGGCTTTGGGGAGCTTCTGCCTGCTGTCCTCTGTGGCCCTCGCTGGAGGGGTGGGAGGGGGCTGCTCACTGAGACCAGAGGGTCTAAGGATTCTGTGAAGCGACGTGGGCAGCTCACCGAATGCGTGAAGAATGATTGAGAGACAAATACTATGATGACGGTACCTGAGCCTCTCAAATGAGAGACGACGGGCCTGTGACAATTAGCCTCTCTTCTCGCTTATCACAGATGCAGTCAGCTCCTTGTGTGGAAAAGACCGCTGGTGCAGTGGTGCGCCAGTCGGCATGGTTTTGTCCCCCGGAGATCCCTCAGTGTCTGGACACGTTTTTGACGGTTGCGCCTGGGAGTGAGGGCTGTTACTGATGGGTGGTGGCTGGAGGCCCGGAATGCTGGCAGCATCCTGCGGCGTGCAGACAGCCCCACAGCAGTGCGTTCTCTGGCCCAAGTGCCAGGCGCGCAGAGCACAGTCGGGTCCTGTGCGAGGAGAACAGGATCCTCCAGTGCTTCTCTTTTCGTTAATGGTTACATAGTTTCTCCAGGGAATAGAATGTGTTTTCTTTTAAATTCAGAGAATCTCCTTGTTTTCTCATTTGAAATTTCTGGGGAGGAAGCAGCCGCTTTCCAGGTCTTGCTGATGGAGCAGTTTGTCAGAGGGCGGGTCTGGCCGCCCTCCCTGCCCGGGCAGTGGGGAGCCGTTGCCCTCCTCTCCTGCGCCCCTTCTCCAGGCGTCTCCTGCTGGGCAGCTCGCCTTCAGTGAGAGCAGGTCTGTTAGAAAGCAGTGGCAAGGCTGCCAGGAGGATGACTGCACTTCCAGACGGTCTTGGGTTGGGGTGTGTTCTGGCAGCCCGGTGGGTGCTGGGCCATGACTGTCCCCTTCAGGGCTCCGTCACGAGGAGTGGCTAACTCACGTTGTCACCACTGTGTTCCTAATGTCTGTCACCAGGGAGCTGTAACTTTGAGTCTTCAGAAACTCTAGCAAGTAGAAATCCATAGCAGGCGTTTCAGCGTGTCAGTGTTCTTTGTTTCCTGCCCGAGGTGGGGCTCCTCGCCGGTGTTTGCCTCTGAGGTTACCCGTGGGTGTGTCCCCCACGCTTCCTCACGTCGCCTGGGGTTTCTGCTGCCTTCCGCCTCTCCCCACTTCATTGCTTGCGGCAGTCTGTGTTTCTGGTGGCAAACCACATAGATGAGCAGTGGCTGCCTTAGGCCTGAAGGCTGTGGAGTGAAGGCTATTTAGGGCTGTTAGATTTGGCAGGAATTTAGAGGTCCAGCTTGGAAAGGGGCGGTGGTCAGCACAGCTCCTCTGGCCCTGCCTCCTGCTTGCAGCTGCGGGCGAGGTTGCACCCCATGCCGGCTGACCTTCTCAGGGTTCCAGGGCTGGAGAGCGAGCTTCGGCTCTGTGTCCTAGGCTGGACCATTGTGCAAGGAGGAGCAGTGTCTTAAAAGGTGCTTTTAGAACGGGAGCGTGGCTGCTGAGCAGGCCAAACAAGTGGCAGGTGTCCACCACATCAGTGCCTGCGGGGTGCCCCTCGCTCCCAGGCTAGAGACCCCCGGCTTGCCCTACTGAAGCTGCCTCTGGGGACACATCCGGCTGCCCGCCCCTGTCCCGCCGTGTCTGTTCCCTCCCCGCTTTTACCCACAGCTCTGCGGGCTCAGCCCGCACGGGTGTGGCGCCTTATCAGGCGGCTTCCCGCTACGGGAGAGATGTGCAGGTGGATCCGGGTCGAGACCATAGGTTCATGGCCCCATGGGACATGCTTAGAATCCGCAGTTCGTTTACAGCAGATGAAAGCTGGATCCTGTAGAAGGGCGTTATGAGTGCTGTGCCTCCCAGCAAGTGTCTGTAATTGTAATATATCCTTGCATTATTCTGGATGTCTGAAAGAAGCTTACGTCTGTGCACTCTCAAGTGTTTTTTTGGTATGACTGATTGTCCTATCGTTTGTGAAAGAGTATATACTAAACATCATTTAGCCTTTTTGTGACAATTAGAAATGACCATTGCAGGGGCCTGGCCCGGTGGCGCAGCAGTTAAGTGCACAAGTTCTACTTTGGCAGCCCAGGGTTCGCCCGCCAGTTCAGGATCCTGGGTGCGGACATAGCACCGCTTGTCAAGCCATGCTGTGGCAGGCATCCCACATATAACGTAGAGGAAGATGGGCGCAGATGTGAGCTCAGAGCCAATCTTTCTCAGCAAAAAGAGGAGGATTGGCAGCAGTTAGCTCATGGCTAATCTTCCTCAAAAAAAAAAAAAAGAAAAAAGAAAGAAATGACCATCACAGACCTTGCATTGATGTATGGGCTGTATTTATATTGGACTGACAATGGGTGTTTTCTTTGTTTAATTTTCAGTTTGGGGTAGTGTTTTTGATAAGGTTGATAGATAACTGAATTCCTCAATGGAATGGCCGTGCTTCACCTAGAATATAGTCAGCATTTATGAGTTATCCAGGAAACCTCACCACATTGCTACTATTTTTATGGGAAAAGGAATTCTGGTTTTAAAATAAGCCCCTTTATAAGTTCAAGGTTACTTTCACCATCTTTTCATAATCTCTGTGGGATGTGTTCTGACTTAGAAGGCTGTACATCTTGGGGGTACTCGTTTGTTTCACTTCCATTTCATAATATTGTCAGGGCTTAACGAAATATTGAAGCTCTGAGCAAAAATGTGCCTGCAAAAATATTCCTTGGCTAATTAGGGTAGGTTTTTCCTCCTGGCCCGTATGTTAAAACTGCACTTGAATTCAGCTAAAATGGATGAAGTGACATTAGTCAGCGTTTCTTCCTAGTGTGTGCTGAGTTTTATTTTTTCCCATATTAGGAAACTCTCAGGTGTGTCCATATGCAAGATGTACTCCTAAGTAAAAGGGTATTTTCTTCTGCTGTTCCAGGCCGGAGCCTCAGCAGAAAGCTCCCTTGGTTCCTCCGCCGCCGCCTCCACCACCACCCCCGCCTCTGCCAGACCCTGCACCCCCCGAGCCGGAGGAGGAGATCCTGGGCTCCGACGATGAGGAGCAGGAGGACCCCGCCGACTACTGCAAAGGTGACGCGCTTGCCTGCCCCACAGGCGGCCCGTGGTTGGCTGGGGGATGGGTGATGGGAGTTAAGGATGCAAACTGCTTGGTCTTTACTAAATTACCCTCCTGGGGTCAGTATCATTTCACATGCTTAAAGTATGACATGGAGTGATACCAGAAAATGTAAGCCATTTCAGAAGGAGAACTGTAAGAGAGAGAAAAATATATGCATATGTATACACATATTCTCCGTACTTTTAAGAGGATTTAAATCTGCTTGTCGAGGTAAAGATAGTATAAAGCAGGACATTAAAGATGAAAACATGATAAGCCATCTCAGAAGAACATAGGGAGTAGAGGATGCCAGGCTCTTGAGGGGAACCAATTTAGCTGTTGTTCGCTGCATTTGACTAAGTTTTCCGGCTGCCAAGAACTAGCAAGGAGCCGCTCCTTTCTCTGAATAGCAGTGAATTACATAGTATTCATTGTCTGTGGAAAGAAAGCCTGCCCGTTTGTTTACAGAGACAGACTTTTTCCTGGCATTGTACTCAACGAAAAAGACCTTCTGTGGGTTCTGCCATTGTGTGGCATAGTGGATTATGTTTCAGCTATGATTTCACAGAAGACAGAAGTTATTCAAGTGGAGTGTTCTTGTCTTGATGCCTCGTAAAGACCAAGAGCATAGAGTTAAATTCCTAGGAAGCCAGCATGTTGTGTGATGAATGTTGGTCCAGCTCCGTACTCTGTGTAGACTGGAGTCTGAGAATCCAGGAGGAAGGGAGGTTGCTCTGCCCGTTTGGCTGCCTCTCTGGTACTTAACTTCCTCATTTGGACTTTAATCCCTCTAACAGGAAGTTATCACAGCCTGCAATTCTGAGCTTCTGAACAGTTGATGAGACATTTATTTGTTCTGCTATGAGAGTTTGAGAACTAATCTTCCACTCTAACCGGATTGTTCCATAGGTGTGGGTTTCCACCTATAGAATCAGTGTTTTCCTTAGGAGGAGGAGTGTAGCTCTTTAGCATTTGTATGAGTAGTGTTCAGGACCCCAAAGGTCTGTGCCATCTCATATGGACAAGGAAAAGTTTGGAAAGGTGAAAAGAAGATGTTTTTCATCCTCCCTCTTAATCTGCATTTCTTGGTTCGGAAGTTAAGTTGTTTGAAGAAGAGATGTGGACAGTTGTCTTGTTTTGCTGCTTAGGCCAAGGTGTTTGGTTGGTCTGTGGGAAGTGTTCTCCTGAGCACATGGCCTCCGCCTGCTGCACTGAGAACCCATTTGCCTCACTGGCTCTCCAGCCTGTGGGTCAGGAGGTGGGACCAGTGCTCTCCTCCCTTTACCAGCTCTGCACGTCAGCACAGTGGACACCCCAGACCGAAACATGGGCCACGAGAGAAGGATTCCACAGTCAGGGCTGATTCTAGATAGCGTTCACTGACCTCAAAACATCTTAGAGCATTAAAGTCAGCCTCACTAAGGCATTTTGGAGATGGTGAAGTTCTCTTCTCTCCCTCGGTCTCTCTCCCTCTCATCCCTAACTTTGGTAAGTGACTTATGCCTCTAGTCAGTATGACATGTGACAGATGCCTTACTCTGAATTTTGTAGTATAGACTATAACAGTTTGTTTAAGATAACTGACATGAATGCATTCCAGGAGTGCATGGAATCGACTGGGAATGTCTAGGATAAGAACTGTGCCTTCCCTTTTTTCCTCTCTGTGGATGTAGTAGATTACTCTTTCCCCTGGAACTGGTTGTGTTTAAGTACCAACAGGATGTGTTGTTTTTTTTTTTTTTCCCCATTTTTTTTTGAGGAAGATTAGCCCTGAGCTAACTTCTGCCAGTCCTCCTCTTTTTGCTGAGGAAGACTGGCCCTGAGCCAACATCCGTGCCCATCTTCCTCTACTTTATATGTGGGACACCTACCACAGCATGGCATGCCAAGTGGTGCCGTGTCCACACCCGGGATCCGAACTGGCGAACCCCGGGCAGCCGAAGGGAATGTGTGAACTTAACCGCTGCACCACCGGGCCGGCCCCCAGTGGGATGTTTTATCACTCTGAGTACTTCAGCATGTTGTGCCTACGATCCAGTACATTCTCCTGTGTAACCACAGTACAGCCATCAAGATCAGGAAGTTAATGTTCGTGACCGACCAAATCGCGTCCTAACTCCTCATCCTTTACAAGTCTCTCCCCGTTGACAGCCTGTGCAGCCTCGGCCGTGTGAGCAGGAAGGGCGCTGTTGACAGTTCCTCCCCGCCTCGGCGCTCTCTGGGGAGTGGGGTCTCCCTCCTCACAGCCGGCTTCTTCCTGCCCGTCTTGCTTTTCGCTCTCCCACCAAACCCAGGGAGATTGTGGACTTTGGGGTCTCAGAGACCTGGTTCAAACCCTGGCCTCCCAGCTCTGGATCCCTGGACGACGTTCTTTGCCTCTAGGCTTTGCTTTCCTCGTCTCTCTCTATAGTATGATATATAATAACATCTGACACCTACAGTTTTGTGAGGGATAAAATGAGACAAATGGATGAAGTGTGCGGTGTGGTCCCCGAAACATAGAAGATTCTTAAGAAATAGGAATTTTGTTTCCTTCTGTCTGTGTTCCAGCCTTCTCCCAGGTGTTTCCCTCTGTGCTCTATGCTGCACCTGTGCTTGCTGGTCCTCCTAGTGGTCCGACCGCCTCACCGGGGGGCTTGTTTTCCCTGGCCTCTGGAGAGAGCAGTCAGTGTTGCATCCTTCTCTTCCTGTCTTATCTCGATGTCACGTCTGGTCGCTTGTCTGGGGCAGGAACTGTGGCAACTGGCCGTGCAGTTTATAGAGACTCCTGCATCCAAGCCCAGGGGATAACAGGGTCAGGCACGGGGCAGCCGTAGACAAACACTGCCGGGAGGCTCTTGTGCAATGTGTGCTCGCGCGGGAGCTCGAGCCCGAGGCCTCCTGGGGGAGACTTCAGTGTGCTGTGGGTTTGTGGGGTGTGACCTTTGTACCACCTGTGTCAGAGTCGCCAGGGGTGCCTGGCAAACATTCCTGGGCTGCACCATCCATCCTGAGCTGGAAGCCCTGGAAGCAGACCGGGACTCAGAATATCTAACAAGTTCACCAGGTGATGTTTCTGCACGTGGAAGCTGAAGTTGCTCGTCCAAGGCGTGCGTCATCCCCCTAAACTTCAAAGCTGTGACCAGGGAGGCGACCCTTCTCTTCACTTCACGCTGTGCCACTGTTCGCTGTGTGAGGGAATTACTGCTTTGAAGAGCTGTAGGTTCCAGGATTTTTCCAGAACCCTCAGTGTGTGTTAACTGCAAGGACCAGTAAACGGTGGCAGGAGGAACATTGCTTTGTCACGTCGTGCCGCCTGCACTGACTGACTCCCCATAGACCCAGTTTTGTGGCTCTCTGAAATCGTTCTTAGATAAGTTGGCGCCTTGTACAGTTTCATCACTTGTGTTATTTCTGGAAACATCGATTTCAACACAGTTGTGGTCTTAACTTGGTATGAAAGAGTGTGTTGTTTCCTCAAAAAGGCCTTCTTTGAACCCCTAATCGTGTCTTACTTAGGCCCCTCCCTCTGTTGCCTTACAATAGTGTCCAGCGCAGCCCCCGCACCCTCGCACTCGTCATGGTGTGTAATTACACATTTGTGCTTGTGCTCGTTCGTGCCCTCCTCCTCCCAGCCTGAGAGTCCCTGTGGTCCAGGGCTGTGCATTCTGTTAATAACCCCGCTGCGTTTGCACTGCCCGCGCTGCAGTGCGATGGGTGTTTTTGGTTGGATGAAGGAGTTGCCCCCAGCGTTAAGCTACAGCTAAGGGATAGACAGCGCCGATGTCACCTGTGTGTCTGAGAGGGCTTGTCGGGGTGAGGAGGTTGACATTCCATGAAGGACACACAAATCAGAATACAGGTCCTTTGTTTCTGCCTTAAATCTTCTTAAAATTGTTCATTATTCTCCAGAGTTCCTATGTATTAAGCATGTTTGAGGGGCATACAGTTTGTTTCTTTAGAAACTTGGGGATATCTTCTTCAAAACATAGGGTAAGCAGTATAAATATTCACACACTAGAAAAATGTCAGATGACCTTCTTATACACAGATTGCCTTTCCATCTATGAGAAGTTTGGACTGGCTGAATTTTAATAAGTTTCAGAATTTAATGGTCGTGGTGATAAGGTCTCCCTGGCCTTGTCTCTCTCCACAGTCTGACTTATGAGTATTTCATAGCTTCAGTTTTTTTAAAAGAAAGAAAGCAATACGTCTTACACAAGGTTGCCTTAGAAACGGTGTCATGCAGCTCAAATGTTTTATAGAAATGTAAGTTTTAGTTTTTGTTCTTTTTGATATGAAAGAGATGACCTTTATTCGTTCACAATTCTTTTCCTTAGATCCACTAATGCTGGACACGTACTTAATTCACCACGGTTGCGTGTGTTTTGAAAATTAGTTGTTTTAATTGGCTTACTTGAAGCCTGAACAAGAGACTGCTTATCTGTGTGGACACGGTAATAGGTGCTCTTGAATTTATCACATTTCTTCCATGGAGGCTGAGGAGGTTCTAGCACCTGATGGACCTGTTGGAGCTGAGAATTGCTGCTGACGAGGGTATTGATCACTCAGCTCTAGTTAGCGTGACAATTGAATTCTTTGAGGCTTTGCTCTGTGTAGTGTTGTTGTACACAGGGAATATGAAAGTCAGCGAGAAACAGCCCCCTCTCTCGGCGTTCCCGGCCTCCTGACGTGGCCACGTCGGTCCCAGTGCTGGAGACTTGGCCTGTCTTCCTTCCTCGCTCCATCCCAGCACCCAGGCAGGGCAGTCTGTGGCCTGCTGAATGTTGGCTGAATGAAGAGACTAGATTAAGAAACTACTCAAAGACGTTTTTCACCTTTATTGTGTGGTTAACTGTAAGAGGGGAAAAAGGAAGATTTGTGAGGGCTTAAAAGGAGTGAGATTGTGGGGCTGGCCCCGTGGCCGAGTGGTTAGGTTCGTGCGCTTCACTGCAGGCGGCCCACTGTTTCGTTGGTTCGAATCCTGGGCGTG